ACAGCAGCAATTTTGCATTTGTATTTTTCGTTTGCATCAAAAATTCATATTTTTGATGCAAACGAGTTTTTAATTTGACGCAGAAGCTTTTTTTCATTACAAATATGTAATTATGTGGATTGTTATCAAAAAATTCCAGCTTTTGATTGGGTAAAAAGAAATTGGAATCAAAGATAAGTAGTTGCTATTTTGCATCACCATGATTAATTACACTCATTAGTAAAGTTTTACTACCAAGGACGAAAATATTTACGATTACTCCAATTCATATATTTTAACCAGTAAAACTTTTATCTGAATACAAAATGTCGTCTTTTTTACAGTTTTTGATTCCCGGGCATAAGCTAAGGAAGTATTGGCTACTTTCATGTTTTATCGACGTTTCAAATTGTAAATGCATGTTGTAAATATAAATTAACCAAAATTTATAAAATAATACACTCCCGCACTTGTGGTTTATAATCTGCGTTGAGTTTTCCCCTGGGCATCCAAATTTTATATTATCTGTATACTTTATAGAGGTTACCACAAAACAGTAAAATTTCGCAAAATCAAATGTTATAATTTTTCTAAGAAGAGGACTTTGTTATAGTGTACTTCAGGGGCGAAGGAGCTTTTGACCAATTTTTTAATGATGTTGTGAATTAACGAACAAATTTCTTAACTTCCACTGTCAAAAAAAGTTTTAAAAAAGTTCATAATATAAAAAAACTTGCGAAGTTTATGCAAAATATGTGCAGGTCCGTTTTCAAAATTTCGGAACTCGAATTTAGTTCGTTCCATGTTTACGAAAAGCCGTAAATCATAAAAAGAATCGGTTCACACATTGGACAATAACACACAAACATAAAATAATCGATTTTCGACAAAAAGTTCAAATTCCTTGACTGATATTATCAAGTCACGAAAACTGAGATACTGTCTACTGTTTGCGAAAGATGAGGAGATAACAGAAACTGGTAGGCTTTAGTTTCATTATTTTGAAATTTCGGATGAATGTGTATATATTTTTAATCCAGTTCAAACGTCCGAAATTTGAGGTTATAATATTTTCTTTTGTTTTGTGTTGTGGAGTATATCATGTAAGTATTTTTTCATACTGCAATATGGAAAAAGCTTTAAATTTATCATCAAATTGTTTTTGAATTTTGAATTTAAATTCAAAATTATCTCTATTTTCCTTTTTGTTTATTATTGATTATTGCAAATTATATTAGCGTATTCCGTCTGCCTGTCTGTCTGTCTGTCTATCAGGAAACGCCGAAACTATTTGACAAATTATTGTGAAATTTTCCAATGTATTTTAATGTCTTGTAAATGGAAAAACACTAATTAAAATTTGTCTTTACATTCCCCCCAAAAATATGCTGACGTCATTTCAAGATTTTGTTAAATATTCTCACTCTTATTTTAATCGTGTATAATTTGACAATTCGTCTTGAAACTACAAAACCAATTCTCTAAAATTTATATCATCTCAAAATTTTGCAAAATTATTATATGTATATACACTCACCGGCAAAAAAATCGAATCATTAGGATTTTTGTAGAAATCTTCAATAAATTCTGGTGTGCGTCACATTTATAAGACAAATTAGTTTATCTAGGACGAAGGAGATGAGAAGGTAACGGGACCTTCGCTGAAGTTGCAACAATTACGAGTTTATTAAAAAATACCAGAAAATCCATTACATTAAACCAACAAAAGACTACTTAACATATCATTATTAACGACTATTGCCGCCTCTAGCTTGCATTACGGTTGCCATACGTCTTCCCATACCATCTGTGAGGTGTCTAATCTCAGCCTGGGCTAATTGGTCAAATTCTTCAACTAGCGCATTTGCAAGATCTCTTATGTGTTGTATGGCCGGCACACGTGCTCTGATACGTCTACCTAACATGTCCCACACATGCTCAATTGGATTCAGGTCGGGACTGCGTGCTGGTCATTCCATACGTGAAATCCCGAATTCGTCGAGGTAGGTTTGTACAAGTCTAGCGATATGTGGTCTAGCATTATCATGCATTAGAATAAAATTATCGCCAATAAAAGGAGCAAAAGGTACGACATGCTCTTGAAGAATATTTGCTACATATCGATCAGCATTCATTGTGCCTCTATCCACCACTACAAGTTCCGTGCGAGCCTCGGCAGAAATTCCTGCCCAGACCATCACAGAACCTCCATGAAAACTTAGTCTGGAAACAATATTGCACTGAGCCTACCTTTCGCCTCTTCTTCGCCATACTCTTTGACGGCCGTCAGGAGAACGTAGACAAAAACGCGACTCATCTGTAAAGAGTACTTGGCCCCATTGGGCAAGATCCGAGTTAACGTGTTCTCGAGCAAATGCAAGTCGGGCTACTCTATGGCGTGGGAGAAGTTCTGGGCCACTTGCAGGTCTACGGGCCCTCAATTCAGCTGCAGTTAACCTTTTCCTTACAGTTCTTTCACTTACACTAACTCCTCGTGTTTCTTCAAGTTGATTTCTGGCTTCAACTGCGGTCGTATCCCTATTACGGAACACGGTCAGCGTTAAAAAACAGTCATCCCGAGCCGATGTTTTCTTTGGACGACCCGAATCAGGTCTTCGGCTGTATGATCCAGTCTCATTAAACCGTCGTACAGTTCTGTGAATGCTCACTTGTGATACCCCTAACGTATTGGCAACGTACCGTTAACTTCGACCATCCTGAATAAGAGCAATTGCTCGTGCTGCATTAATGGCCACAATACTCATGTTAATTGACAAAAACACAGTTTTCATCAAATTACAATGACAAACAGTCTGTTAATGCCCTCTAAACGTCACAACTGCAAATCTCATTGTTGGAAAAAACTTATCATCTTCAGATTTGAGGTTCATATCATGTACAAAAAAGAACCAAAAACCTAGTATTAGTATATTTTGTGTGATTTTTTCAAAACTGATATTGACTGTAGCCAAACGTTTAAAAAAGGAACCATTTTCAATACAAACTTTGGGTGATTCGCTTTTTTTGCCCGTGAGTGTAGAATATCAAGTTTCTCAGTATGTAGTTTTTTTTCTTCATAAAAAACGACTTATCTCAGTGTCTATAAATGTTTCTGGTATCAGAAATATACCCCACTGTGGTAATAAGGCGGCAAAATAATTAGCAAAAAACATTCCACAAAATTTTATTAGAAAACTTCACCTGCATGTTATGCTCTTATATCTGTACTTTAAAAATTATTAATCCCCATTTTTATTTTAACTTAGAAGATTAAAGCAAAAAATAAAATCTAAATTTAAGTACATCTTTGAAACTGGACGTGCGTAAGTGACTGTGCGTCAAAGACGATGGAACTTCTGTCTAATAACTTTGGAGTACTTTTTTTACAAATTTAACTTAACAATGAAACAAAAATATACTGTGTACTGGAGAGATGTGTAATCAAGAATACCAGAGAAGTCCAGTCACAATATTTTTCAATGCTAAAATTGCAATCAGTGCGTGTATGTATACCCCCTTGTTTTTATTTTTTTTATTTTTATGCATACTCGTGACGTTGTATCTGTTTGTTAGGGTTTTCCTTGATAACGTTATCACGAGGAAATATAACCCAACTCGTTATCACATGCCACTAAAGTTAAAAATTTTGTCACTATTGTGCATAAGCGGATCATTTTCATTTGACAGTGTTTGTTTAAGATAAAATATGACGAATTTGACTGGCCAATGAATTTTAGTCATCTTAATACCATCGATTTTTATCATCCTAGTTTCGTTTTAAAACGACGTGGACAGGAAATGTTCGTGTAAATAATAAAATAAAATGCCATTTCGATGACTAGCTAAAATTTTGTGACGGCTACAGTATTACACTATAACAGATCATGCTTATTTTTCATATAACTGTGATTGACTTTGGGTGTTTAAATTCAGTACGAGTTAATTGGAAAACTGAAACTATTATAAAATAGTTGTACTAACTAAAGTACATATTGATGTCATAAAAGTAAAGAATACTATATCGTGTGTATGATCAATGAATGTATACGGTTGACATTTATGTTTCTAAATATTTGATTATTACTATATTTACACATTATATCGCACCCAGATAAATGTCACTTAAAAAAATATCTTCATAGTAATTTAGTTTTTTAAAAATGTCAATGACTTCATTTTTATTTTATGATCAGGTCACAAAGGTAGTGCGATAATGTGGGTATTATTTTACAATTTTGCTGCTATGAAAACTAAACAGAATCTAACGCATAGCGCATAAAATGTTTATCTTCAGCGCATTTTTAAAATTTTGCTCAATTTTGCTGAAATAATTTATTGGCAATCAATAAATGATCTCGATCAGTACCTACGTAGGTAACATGTGGTAAATAATTTGAAATTAAATATCACACCAATGAAAGAATAAAACACATTTCGAAAAAAAAAACGAAAAACAATATTGGTAATCGTGTATCTATCTAATCGATTTTAATTATCCGTTTTAAATTTGCATCTTCAGTCTTTTCAAATAACTGAGATGTTAAAGGAACCGGTATATAATAAATTACTAATATGGTTAGTCTTTATTAGTAACTAGCGAACATTTAGTATAACAGATTATTTGTAAAATTAACCACCATTTATCACCATTACAGAAAACAGACTTGCCCGTACAGACATGACAATTAGGAAGTCATCTAGTTCGGAGACAGATGGTCATTTCTCTCTTCATATGGCCAAACCCTGGGGCGTCCAACTCATAAAGTTACCTGGTAACTTGCCTTGAGATTTAATTATACTACTCACTTGTGCACACTGACGACACTAAAACGTCGTCTGACGCCATCATTACAGTAATACGATTTTAACAATACAAACTTGGGCCCTTATTACTATCGATTAAGGATGAGGAAGGGATATTTTTCATGACTCGTTCAGTATATGGGTCGTGACGAACGTAAACAAAGCGTACGACCCTACTGCTTCATATTAATATTGAACTTTGCTACCAAACTTCCTGATTAATAATATAACTATTTGTGTCAGCACATTTCCACTCGGTGTAGACAACGCTTTTGTTTAACGTGCCTTTTTCAATACTTTATTAATTTTGTTGGGTTAAACTGTGGTGTGTCACCGTTTCATGTGAGCAATATCCCGTGCACCTGTGCATTTAGAAAGTGTGGAGTTTCATCGGGTATGATGGATTTCGACGCGGATCATTTTTGTCGAGAAATAGAGGAAGAATTTAATGTGAATTTACGAAAGAAAATACGGGAAAGCTGGCAGGACTACTGGGATTGGTTAGTAATTAATTTGACTTTGTATCATTTGAACTATAAATTGAACAGATTCGTTATGGTTGTGTTCAAGAGTTTGAGGCTTGTTGCAAAAATAATATCGGATCATTTAAAAGTTTGCTTTGAAAGTGTTTGAGAAAATCCAGACCTAATGTCAGTTTCAGATGAGAGTGTTATATGATAAAGATGAACTAACAAATTAAGTACATTTTAAATATAGACAGTTATTAAATATTTATTTAAATGTTTTGGCAGTTAAGTAAATGCGTTACTTAAACTAGATAAGTGAGAAAATCAAATAAAAAGTGGCAGTTGGCATATTTTAGACAATTTTGTGCAACAATTGGTACTATAAAAATGTTAATTCCAACCCTTCGTTTTGTGTTATTAGAAATGTAGACCCTACTGTTATTTTTCATCGTTTGGAGTTTGCAAAGGTTACTTTTTCCAACATTGATTTGTACGAATAGATAACTTGTGTGTGCATTCAAAACTTCTCCGATTCCATCTCATTTTATTTACTTTCACAAACCAATGTTTACTCATATTTTTCTCAGCATTTCATCGAAAGATATGTCACGGTGTAACGTTACCTTTATCTTCATGCATTCCTTTCCAGTGATAAAGCGGATTTTTATTGACGCATTTCCTTTTTGTAAAAGGGTTTTGTTCCCATAAAAATCAATCGAACAATAAGTGCATACAAGCACTGTTTGTTGAACTTCTTTATGGAACTAGACATTTAAAATATATTCTTTGAATGAATGTCAGTTACAGATATTAAACAAATTATCTTTTAAATGTCAGTGAAAACGCTTAATAGGTGGTAATTATCGAATCAAGCCATGTGGTAACAAGGATAATGCCAGGAGCAGATCAGGAAAATTCACAACAGTAAAAATGTCCATTAAATGGATTAGTCTCAAACACAATCCGTAAAGTCCTCCTTTCACTTGTTGAGTGGTAAAACGTGTTACAAAATTTTAGATAATACACTCATTCAACAGAAATTTTCTCCTCAAACAAGTAATCATACTTACTTTGCAACCATTAATGATTTTTAATGTTCTTTTTTGACAAACGTGCCATTCACTAATTTTTAACTACGCGATAAATACTGTCATGAATTCTAAGCACATTACGACTTGTTTATGTGTTTGTGGATACATATAAACAAAAAATATAGCAACATTTTTGTATATAAATCCCCCCGGTAAATTCATCATAGTTGATACGTGATTAACATTAACACCGAAGGTTATGCATTACAAGACAAAAACAGTGTTATTCATCAAAATAAAATGTATGTAAATTAAGGAACCTCATTTTTATGTTTACATTTTTCTACGTAGGCGAACCACCAACTAAATAAGTATTCAGCTTTGATTATAAGGTGTATACTTTTTGTGGTAATCGAAAATGCCATAAAAAGATTTTTGTAGGTATTTTTTAAATTCGAGAATCTTTCATGTTTACAATAGGTCAAAACAAATTTTAAAATAGTACGCAAGATCCACAATCGACCAAAATTCTTATCAGTGCGTTGGCAAATTTGCACGTTACTGTAATTTCGGAAACGGAAAGAGATACAAAATCAGTTCTGTTGGAAAAATATGCAGTAGTTTAAAGCGATTAGATTCATACAGGGTTATTCACGAGAAGCTCTGCTCCTAAAAAAAATCAAGCGGCAACCAGAAATACAATTCTATCTAATTTCATACAGTTTTAAAACCAAATAAAACGTAGGTAATTGTTTTGTTTTAACAACGTTGTCAGATGGCATTTCGACAGAATTGATACAAAATGTATTCAAACGACGAAAAAACTGATATGATTTTCATACATACATGGTGCCTAAGTACAAAATGCGGCTACTGCATCACGTTTGTATAGAGAGCATTATCCATACATTATTAATATTATAATGGAGATACTCTAACGAGTACTTGTTTTGAATGTAATTGTATTTGCTTTTAACCCAAAAATCGACGTTTATTTCCGAATTGTGTTATTGGATGCATTTTGAGTTTTTTAGGCGTAGAGCTTCTCCTGATTAACCTTATACGTAATTCTGTGCAAAACCACAAATTACAGATTGATTGCCATCGATTTTATTATAATTTTAACAAAAGATTGATTTCAGAAATTACCTACAAAATAATGTATGATATTAGCATGAAGCAGTGTTTTTTTTAACCCGATTGTCTTATTTTTTTGTACACCAGGATATTCTTGGCAACACTTTTGAAAATTTGCAAAACACTTCATTTTTAATTAAATTTATTTACGTTTGGTTAAAGGGCAGGTACAATTTTTAAAATAACAAAATTCACTGTAATTTACATCAATTTTTTTAAATATCAAATTTCATTTCTAAATAAAAGGGTTATCCAAAAGTATGTTAACAATATTGTTGTACCGATTAGAATGGGTAAACAAAATTTATGTCGGTGCGTTGTGTTATTGCTTATGAATAAAATTTGATGGTACAGAATTTAACAAAATTTAATTGTGAGAAAAGAGAAATTGCATATTTTGGAATTTCAAAAGTTTTGATCCAGGGTACAATCAAACAAATCCAATTTTTTTTTTCGAAGAATTGTAAAATTTGTTGTTACAAGTAAAAAGTATACATGGGACAAAATACGATAAAGGGCAAAATCACTGAAAAGAAAAAAATAAAAACTAACATGTTTTAGGTGTAATTTTTTGTTAATAGATTAACACTACAGGATGTTAAAAAGCAATTTATAATAATGTCCGCGAAAATATTTTAATAGGCAGCAAATGAAGGACTAGATTTTTTTTCTAAGCGAGGAACAGTTTTAATTATAAAATAATAATAAATTTTAATACGTTAATAAAATTTATTTGGCCTTTGTTGAAAGGAAAGTGGTTACAAATACACTTAAATGAGCAGTCAAAATAACTTAATTCTCTACAAAATATGTTTTTTCGCTTCAATACTACACGTAATTTGGTGCATCGACGAAATGCCTGGAATGTTAAAAATATCTCTGTAACGCTTAGTTCTTAATTTTTCCTGCTGTCTTACTCGCATCTTTTCATTTTTGTTCATGTCATTTATTTTCTTTCGATTTTTTAGATTGTACTCCGTGTCTTTCATTCTTTTTAAATTTCCATCTTTGTCCGACATTCTTACACGTTTTTTTTTTTTTTCTTTTCACGTTTATATTCTCGTTTTCAGCTGCAGTTTTCTTCGTTTTCTTAAACATAAAATAATATGGCCGTTAGCCACTATAGATAAGAATTTATCGGTAAAATTAAAAATAAGGGGACCGGCGTTACAGGGGACCGTCGTCACAAAATACGTTTAATATATATATTTTGTAATTCGCAATAATCTGAAATTTAGCACATAACCATTTAATCAAATTGTTTTCAATGCTTTATTGGACAAACATAATACTTACGCTATAAAATTGAAAATACCGTTTATATCAGCGGGGACCGTCGTTACTTTAGAAAACATATTTTTTCAAATTACGAATAAATGATGTAAATTAAACGTGAAAACTACGACAACAGACAACTTAACTGTTTGGCCATTTTTTTCACTCACTTTGTCAACTTGTCAGAAGCAGTCACAGCTTCTTCAGTTAAAAGCAATGATAACAATATCCATAAATGCTTACCAAATCTTAAATGATGCATTTGTAGGTACACATTTATTTATTTTTTTTGTACAACAATAAAGCAATTAAAAGACTTTTAATTATGTTTAAATAAATGTTCACGGTATTGAGTTTACAAAAATAAATTATACGTAAATAACATGAATGCAGCAGTTGCCCACAATACGAAGCTTTTTGTAAATATCGCCTGGGGACAGGGGACCGGCGTTACATTTTTTAAAAGTTTTATGGAAAACTGCAACTGTGTACCACTTAATATTAGTGAACTGTGTAATATCTAATAATTATAAAGTCATTGTTTGTGATAAATTCAATATTTAAGAAAAAATTAAAAGAAAACACAGATAAATGTGGTAGGAACACGTTTTTGCCCATTATCGTATTTTGTCCCACATAATACCAGTCACATTGTAAAAAAACATTTGGTGAGGATGGAATTCGAACCCACTCGGCTACGAGTCATTTGATACAGAAGTCCGATGTTGACTCCATGAAAGACGTAAAAAATATTGCACACAAAAAATATAAAGTTACTCCTGAACGTGCTCGCGGCGCTCGCATTCTGACTGTTCTATTTTAATTAAAATAATGTCATAAAAATTGACGAATGTACGGTCAGCAAAGGTACTTGGTTTTTATTATAATAATTCTCGAAATCTCCTTGTGAACGTAAATAAATTAAGTGGGATTTATAAACTTGCTGTTGACGTTGAAGATCCAATTGCAGTTGCTGGAAAAGTGGAGAATTTAAGTTGATTACTACAAAAAATCACATTTTAGACATGTTTTAAGTTTCTTGTTGCCGAAATAAGTCTACACATACTAGTGCCCACCCGCCCTATCTCTATTGTGAAGATTTTTTTTATTCGTCGTGCGCCAAGAAGGCGGAGCTTAACTGCAAAATCCTTATTTCTCTACGAGAAATTAAAATATTGTTTTTGAGTATCGTGCTGTTCAAAGAATACCATGTGTATGTATTACGAAAAATAAACCCAAAGATTAAGCCCCTCCCGTACCCGCCCCGATCTCAATTCTCAATTGTGATGAATTTTTCATTCGTTGTCATATCGAGGGGCGGGGCTTAATTGCAAGATCCATATTTGTCTAGAAGAATTTACCACTTTAACAATGTTTAAGTTTCTTGTTCTGAAAAGACGACTGCGTATATTAAGAAAAAGGGCCCTATCTCAATGTTTTTTTAAGCGTCGAGAGCCAAAAGTGCGAAATTTAATTACAAAGTCCACAAGAAATTACCATGTAAGACATATTTTTGATTATCGTGTTATTCAAAGAATACTATGTATATTAAGAAAAAACTAAAGCCAAAGATTAAGCCCCACACCCATACCTGCCCTGATCTAAACAGTAATTAAGTTTTCATTCGTTGGTGGACCTAGCGGTGGAGCCTAATTGCAAAATCCATATTTCCCTACAAAAATTTACCATTTTAAACGTTTCTATGAATAAAAAAAATCATCACAATTGGGACGGGGTGGGTGGGCGGGGTTTATATTTTGCCTTTTTTCTTAATAAACGTAGTATTCTTTGAACAACACGACACTCAAAAACATGTTTTTATTTTCTTGTAAAGAAATAAGTATTTTGCAGTTAAGCTCCGCCCTCTTGGTTAAGGGCGAATAAAAAAATCATCACAATTGAGATCAGGCGGGTGGGCGGGCTTACATTTTGCCTTTTTGTTTTAATATGTGTAGACTTCTTTTCACAACATGAAACTTAAAATATGTTTAAAATGGAAAATTTGTATAAGGAAATATCGATTTTGCATTTAGGTTCCGCCCCATAATTCCAAAATCCATATTGTGTGAAAAGAAGTCTACAGATATTAAAACAAAAGGCAAAATATAAGTTTAACTTTTTGTTTTAGAGTCTTATAAGCAAGCAATAGCTCCGCCCATCCGCCCCCTCTTCATTTCAGTGATTACTCTTAATATTTTACAGTCGTTTACCAAAATTAATCTTATCGTAACAAATACTAGCCCCGCCCACCCGCCCTCTATTTTCTTACAGTGTATGTGATTTGCCAGTCAGTCTTTTCTTAGCAAGTACTAGCTCCACCCATCTCCGCTGTTTTCATTCTAACGATCTTATTTCTTGAGTAGTCTGAGATCCACCTTTCATTCTGGCTAGATAAAATGAATCACTAAAATGAAGGCTGATTGGGTGGGCGGGGTTAATTATGTGTTCTTTTCTAAAGTGGCAATGGGAACTTACAAAACGTAGGCTGCTAAAAAAAGAAAAAAAAAGAGCTCAATTCGTAATTTTTTTGTTAACTAGGTGCTATAAGATTTATTTTTTATTTCAGAAGAACAAAAAATAAGAAATCCGGTGGGTGGGTGGGGTTAAGTTTAACCTCTTGTTATAGAGTCTTTTATAAACAAGCAATAACTCCGGCCATCCACCCCTTCTTCATTTTTTGATTTTTCAATGTATCGAGTTTTTACCGTTTCAATTTATCAAAATTTTCGATTTCTTGATTGTTATAGTTTTTGATTTTTGAATTTTTCGATTTCTCAAATTTTCAGTTTTTCCACTTTTCGCTTTCTCGATTTTTCAATTTATTGATATTTCAGTTTTGGGATTTTTCATTATTTTGCTTCTTCAATTTTTCGATTTTAAATGTTTCAGTTTTCCGATTTTTTTTTAATTTTTCGTACTTGTGATAAAAAGCAAGGGGGATACATAAACCACGAGTACAAGAGCATATTATTTTATAAAATGTATTAATTTAGATAACTTTACCTACTAAAAATGAAGAGGGGATGATTGGACAAATTTTATTTTATTTTTTTTTTATTAGAATACCCTACATATTTTTGGATATGTTTAATTACCATTTCAGTTAGAAAATTAGTCTTATCTTATCAGGTACTAGCCCCACCCACCCACCCTCTCTTTTCTTAGAGGGTATCGTATTTGCGAAAATTAGTCTTATCTTATCAGGTACTAGCCCCGCCCACCCACTCTCTTTTCTTAGAAGGTATGTCATTTGCCAAAATCGGTCTTACTTTAACATCTACTAACCCCGCCCACCCACCTTCTCTTTTCTTAGAGGGTACGTCATTGCCAAAATCAGTTTTATCTTAGCAAGTACTGATGCCTAACTTTCACAAAAATGATAAAAATTTGGAAACATTACGCGCTTACTTACATGTACGAGGCAGAAATTTTGAACATCTTCACTATTGTTTAGTTGGTTGTTTTAATGGATTTTTCTTATGTTGGTTTTGTTTTTGTTTATAATTTATAAATGTGTTATTTAATGGGATGTCGAGGAGTGTGCGCTTTTTGTCTGTATATAAAATTTAACAATAATGGATCCGATAATTTCGGAAATTATCTAGCTAAAAAATAGACACAGACAGGCAGGTAGAAACGGGAGACCTATTGTTTCGTTCTCTAGGTTTATTTTAACAGTACGGAAAATATGTATATTCCCCAAAAATAAATAAATGTCTACCCCAAAAAAATTGTATAGTTTGAAATAGTGTTTTATGGACTTCTTGATGTGCTGATTATTAAACTACCTATATTCTATTATAATAATTATATGTAATAATAATAATAATAATAATAATAATAATAACAAGTTTCCCGTCCGCCTCGGCGTCTAGTGTAATCTACCAATTTTGTTATATTTTAACTGAGGAAGTGTTGTAAAAAGATCCAGCCGGCGGATTGTTACTTTCGTGTTTTTTCGACGTTTCATGACCCCTAGAGTACGAGAAAATAGGTCTCCGTTTCCCTCTTTTTGTCTGTCGTCTCTGTCAATTTTTATGGCCTCCGAAACTACTAGACCGATCGTTATCAAATTGCGTAAGTATTTTAGCAATATCGTGAAGATGGTATAACTCCAACCAAAATTGATATAATCATCCCCGCCAACAACGTGAGGACGACACTTCAAAATGTTGCATAGTAATGTTATTCAAATTTTATGAAATAACATACTCCTATCCTACACTTGTGGTTTGAGTTCGTCTTGATTTTTTTTAAATTCTAAATATCAATTTAACTTTGAAACTCCTAAATCGAATCCTCTGAAATGTTGCTAACGTTTTAAGGTTATCGGTCATCTAAAATGTCCGAAATATTACTTATCTTATAAGGCGTTGAGGACGTCTTCATAAAATTTTGTAATAGAAAAGCTCGCTTGAAACATACACATTGCATGCTTCTTTATCATTGCTTTAACGCTACACACATACTCATTTTAACTTAAGTATATAAAAAAAAACTCGCAAAAACAAATCTTCTCATTTTCGAAGAAGTTTAATGGCTTTAGCAACGAGGGAGCTTCTGTTTAAATAACCATAGACCGATTTATTTAAACTAGTGACACATTTTCAGAGTTTTCAGTAAATAAACCTACAAATTTGAAAAATATCTACATACCGCGCACACGTCGTTCAGGTTTTTACTAAAAACAATTACAAATGAACACGAAATGTGTACTTTATTTTATACATAATAAAAAATAAAAAAAGATTAAACATTAAAAAAACGCAAAATTAAGTCAGAAATATTATGGCCAAAGTCGTTAAGAATCAAATCCAGAACAATTCCATGTTAAAGTTTAACAAAATATGTTGCATAAATTGAATATTAATTACGATGAAAAAAGAGATCGCTATCTTCGGGTGTTTGTAGTTGTTTTAGATGTGCATCGAACAAAAACATTTTTAAAAGAATACCAAATGCTATCGTGAGAAATCATTTCAGAGTTCAGAAATCACCATAAATTGTACGTTTTATTCAAATTACTAAAAATGACGTATATTTCGCATTGTGATCACGGAAAAACCTTGAGCTTAATAATAATCAATTTGCTTTTATATATCACTGACGTGTGGAAGAGGAGTAAGTATAGTTTAAAAATCCTATTTGGGCTGCCTGATTTCTTATTTATCAAGTCAATAACAATAATACTTTATCCAAAAATCTACATAAAACATCTTTTCAGCCAGCCAACCACAAGTGAATTTACTGCAATGTTACTGCATGTTTATTTTACTGTTATTATTCACTGTTTAGCGTGCTTGCTAAATTGTATGTGAAAATTAAATTCTCATTTTAATTAACGCTATCTATTATTTTATAGTGAACAATCAATAGCTAGCGCTCGAGCTAGTGTTATGATCTACGATGACGTAAATAAAAAGTGGATACCATCAGGAACATCGTCGGGGCTTTCGAAAGTTCACATATACCAACACACCGTACAACAAACATTCAGAGTCGTCGGAAGAAAACTCCAGGATCACGAAGTAACAAAAAAAACATGAATTTTAATAATTTCGTTGAAAAATTTATTTTTAGGTTGTTATTAACTGTGCCATTTTAAAAGGACTGAAATATAATCAAGCAACAGCTACATTTCACCAGTGGCGTGACAATAAACAAGTTTACGGGTTGAATTTTAGCTCAAAGGAAGATGCGGACCTTTTTGCAAGGGCGATGTTCCATTCGTTAGAGGTAAGGACTGCTCTAAATTTAAAGCGTTAAATAAAATGATCACCTTTAAAGTACAATAGAGTTAAATTTGATCAAATATTTTTACCGTATTTCCGTTTCAGAAAGTAGCTTATCGTTTACAAATATCGCTCGTTGAGTTGTGTGAGTTAACTGCGAATATTTTTACTCGTTTGACGCGTTTCTGTACTAGAACAGTAGTAATAGTTTATATATTTCTTTTTCTGTACAAGTTTTTACATGCTTTTACGTTTACATAGCGTTTATTCATATCACTCGTTGACTTTAGACTGAGGTTATAAAACACCGCAACAAGTTTTTTTTTTAATTTGTACATCTGCATTTGTAATAAGAATTTGCCACTTCTTTATTTCCTCAGATAAATTATTTAAATGTAACCTGTACACATCTTTCGCTGTATAATGCAAGAGCAGTTCTTTTTTTAACAGTTTATAGTCACACTTTTAACATTTTTGTGAAATTTTTCACCACGTGTTTTTAAAAATCAATATACTCCTATTATTTATGGAAATTTCGTAACGCAGTTTTCTGAGCATAAGCTATGAAAATGTGGTAATCGAGTCCATCGGTCGACTAGCTATTTTCATGTTTTTTTGATGTTTCATTGCTTCTAAATTACGAAAAAGTAGGTCTCCCGTTCCAGTCTGCCTGCTTGTGTCTATTTTTTAGCCAAATATTCTCCGAAACTACCGGACCGATTGTTGACAAATTTTATGTAGTGACTGAATCACAAAAAGCGCAGAACAAAAACATGTTTGTAATTTAATTTTGAAACTACAGGGTCGAATACTTTGAAATCATGTAAACGTTTTAAGGTTATCGTAATAAATAAAATTTTTTTCGGTTACACCCCCTCAAAAAAGATGACGTCAACGTCATTTTACAAAATTACATACTCCTAGACATCCAGATTTAAAAAAAAAAAAATCAAACTTGTCAAGCAACAGTTTAACTTTGAAATTGGAGAACATGGTAAATCGTTAATCAAAATTTGTCCGTTTGTCAGTTTTCTCAGGTTTTTGATTTTTCAGTTTTATGATTATTTAATTGTCGATGTTTCACCTTTGGGATTTTTCAGTTTTTCGATTCTTAAATTTTTTGATATTTCTATTTTGTAATTTTTCAATTTTTCTCTTCTTTCTCGATCTTACAAATTTTTGATTTCTCGATTTTTTATTTTTCGATTTCTCAAATCTCGATATTTCAGTTTTTCACTTTTTCAATTTTTAGGGTTTCTAAATTTTCAATTTTTCGATTTCTGGATTAATCAATTTTTCGATTTCTCGATTTTTCAAGTTTTTGATATTTCAATTTTGGGATTTTTCAATATTCCAGTTTTTCGATTTTTTACATTTTCAATTTTTCGATGTTTCAATTTTGGAATTTTTCAATTTTTCGATTCTTCTATTTTTCAATTTTTCGGTGCTTCAGCTTTCGCATTTTTCAATCTTTCGCTTCTTCAATTCTTCGATTTTACAAATTCTCGATTTTTCGATTTCTGGATTAATCGATTTTTCGATTTCTCGATTTTTCGACTTTCAGATTTTTGCATTTCTTGATTTTTCAGTTTCTCAAATTTTCGGTTTTTCAATTTTTCAGGTTTTTGATTTCGACTTCTCGATTCTCAATTGTTTAATTTTTCGATTTATCAATTTTTCGATATTTCAGTTTTAGGATTTTTTAATACATATTTCAGTTCTTCGATTTTTTTTTTTTTAATTTTGAGATTTTTTTAAATTTTTGATTTTTCAATCTTTCGATTATTTAAGTTTTCGATTTCTCCATTTTACGATACTTTGGTTTTACGCTTTTTCAATTTTTGGATTAATCGATATTTCGATGTTTGATTTTTCCATTTCTCTAATTTTGAGATTTTTCGATTCTTCTATTTTTCAATTTGTCGCTATTTTAATTTTGGGATTTTTCAATTTTTCGCGTCTTCAGTTCCTCGATTTTACAAATCTTTCATTTCTCGATTTTTTTTATTTTTCGATTTCTCGATTTTTCAGGGTTTGATTTTTCCGTTTCTCGAATTTTCACTTTTTCAATTTTTGGATTTATCGATTTTTAAATTTTTCGATATTTTATTTTTAGGATTTTTGAATGTACATGACTTCAATTTTTCGATTTTTTGCTTTCTTTAATTTTTCGATTATTTAAGTTTTCATTTTTTCGATTTCTCAATTTTTCGATGTGTCAGTTTTGGGATTTTTCTGTTTTTCAATTCTTCTATTTTTCAATTTTTCGGTGTTTCAGTTTTACGATTTTTCAATTTTTCGCTTCTTCAGTTCCTCAATTTTACAAATTTTCATTTCTAGATTTTTATTTTTCGATTGCTCAAATTCCCGATAATTCAGTTTTACGGTTTTTCAATTTTTGGATTAATCAATTTTTCGATGTTTGATTTTTCAGTTTTTCGATTTTCGGAGTTGACGATTTTGCGATTTATCGATTCTCAATTGTTCAATTTTTAATTTATGAATTTTTCGATTTTTTCAATTTTTAAAATTTTTGATTTCAATTTTCAATTTTTCGATTTCTCAATTTTTCTTCTATTTTTCTATTTTTCGATATTTCAGGTTTGGGATTTTTAAATTTTTCACTTTTTCAGTTCCGCGGTTTTACAAATCTTTCATTTCTCGATTTTTTTATTTTTTGATTTCCCAAATTCCCGATATTTCAGTTTTACAGTTTTTCAATTTTTGGATTAATCGATTTTTCGATGTTTGATTTTTCCATTTCTCGAATTGTTAGTTTTTCAATTTTTCGATTTCTCGATTTTTCAATTTTTCGATTTCAGTTTATAAAATTTTCGGTTTTTCTATTTTTCGACTTCCCGATTCTCAATTGTTCAATTTTTCCATTTATGAATTTTTCGATATTTTATTTTTAGGATTTTTGAATACATGACTTCAATTTTTCGATTTTTTGCTTTCTTTAATTTTTCGATTATTTAAGTTTTCATTTTTTCGATTTCTCAATTTTTCGATGTGTCAGTTTTGGGATTTTTCTGTTTTTCAATTCTTCTATTTTTAAATTTTTCGGTATTTCAGTTTTAGGATTTTTCAATTTTTCGCTTCTTCAGTTCCTCAATTTTACAAATCTTTCATTTCTAGATTTTTTTATTTTTCGATTTCTCAAATTTTATCGGGAATTCAGTTTTACGGTTTTTCAATTTTTGGATTAATCGATTTTTCGATGTTTAATTTTCCATTTCTCAAATTTTTAGTTTTTCAATTTTTCTATTTTCAGGTTTTTTAATTTTTCGGTTTTTCAATTTCTGGCTCTGATGATTTTTTTGACTTTTTCGAGTTCCCAATTTTTCAATTCCTCGATTTTTCTGTTTTGATGTTTTATTTTTTTATATTTTGAATTTTGATCCTCAATTTTTCGGTTTTTAAGTTTTTCGATTTTTCAGTTTTTTTTTTTTTTTGCTTCATTGTATGTTAAAGAAGTATAGTAATCGAATTCATCCGGCAACTTGCCATTTTCAAGTTTTCTTGACATTTCATGATCCTTATAGAAAAAGTGGTCTCCCATTTTCGTCCGTCTGTCCATCTGTCTGTCTGTGTCGGTTTTTTGATATAATGAGATTTGCAGATAATCTCCGAAATTACCGGATCGATTGTTGTCAAATTTTGTATGTATATTAAGACTATCACATCGCCAATTGGATGACGTCATTTCCAAAATTTACAACAGTAAATTTGATTTTAATTTTATAAAATAATAAGACTTCTGTTGTGGTGTACGAATTTGAGTTTTCACCCTAGATATCCAGATTTATGAAAAAACAACATTTTGCAATTTAACTTTAAAACGGCAAAATGGAAATCTTGCAAACGTTTTAAGGTTAGCTTAATTATGGTAAACCATTACATAATCAAAATTTTTATGCCATCCTAAAAATTGATGACGCCATCTCAAAATTCTGCTGAATAAATAAATCCTCTCTTAAATATTATGACTTGTAGTTTATCAATGCACCCATAGTTTTTAGAATTACTTATACAGGTGACTCAAAATATCACCATTTTCCCAAAAATTTGGGAATATAGTACTGTTATTGTTAATATTACACTGCACAATCCCATGATATACGTGTCCTTGCAAAAATGTTGATGACGTCAACACAAAAATTCACCTGAAACAAATGCATATCACGCTTTTTTACCTTTACGTTAATATTATCTATATATCTTTATTTTAACTTATAGTTAAGGGTTATAAAAAAATAAAATAAAATTCACAAAATCAAATCTTGTAATTGTTCGAAAAATCTGGATTTACTTTACTGTACTTCAGGTGCGAGGGAAGTTCGACTAGTTTTTTTTTTTCGTAAGTGAGATATACAAAAAAGATTGTGTCGAAGATGAAAGAATACAGTGATAGCTCGCACTCTAAAATAAATTTATATAAACTGTAAACTAGATGCACATCTAAAGTCAACGTAGTGAAATTCGCAAAAAAAAAAATAAAAACAAACCTCTCAAATAATAATGACACTAACACCAACGCGTTTTAACCTGTACCCTATGTAAACCACTCCAAAAGACTTAATTGATCGTAACCATTATAGGTACTTAGTAATATAGTTAGACAACCAGCCCCCCAGTATGCACCGCCGGTAGCACCGCAACCACCGCAACAGCAGTTACCGCAGCAGCAATACGACGAAGACATGGGTTACCGCACGATGACACGAGAAGACGTCGCAATGATCCAAGAAAGGCGGATATCGAATTCATTGATGTCACCTCAGCAAACGTCACCGATGACTCCTCAAAATAACGTGCCTGCAGCGCCGGCAATGCCAATGTCCGCCGCCCCCGCCCCTAGCCCTATTTCACCCCCATCTGCACAATCTGGTCATCAAAGAACTGTGAGTGCGCCGCCCGCACCGCCGCCACCCCCGGCCGGACCACCGATGCCGCCAGCGGGAGGGCTGGCACCTCCTCCACCACCACCTCCCCCGATGAACATGTCTAGGTCGCAAAGTAGTGACGGTGGCGAAGTTAATTCTTTAGCGGCACAGTTGCAGAATGCTAGGTTAAAAAGAAATAACAAGGTAAGTGTTGGTGGATTTAAACGCTGATTGTAATCGATATAGTGAACGGAATTTTGTATTCGCGGCTTTTTTAACACTGTTTACCTAATGTTTTAATTTCGAAGTTAACTGTCTTGTAATTTTTAACGAATGTTTTTTTTATGGCAACACTTGTCTGTTTGTTCACTATTCGACGTTAATTGATCACTTTATATATTCTAAATTGGCACAAAAAATATGTAACGTGTATGTTGTGACCAAAATCAATGATTGATGTACCTATTCTGCCTATAGCTTCAGGAACCAGAGATGTACACTTGAGTAGATGGCGTCACTCGAACTGTTGTCAAATTTAACGATAACTTCTCGCAAAGAAAATTTAACTAAAACCAAAGTTTAAGTGAAAAAGTGTGTGAAATGTGAGCACATCAAACTGTAAGCAATAAAACTTTGATTTATCATTTTTTAATTAACCTTTCTTCAGTCGTTTCGTCAAAGAAACTTTTAACACACAAAACAAATGAATCACTAATCGTTTAGTTTCAGCATTGTCTTCATCTGATCTCTTTCATACAAGTAGTTAATCATGTACAAGATAACAAACAAAGCAAGATGATAAAAGTCTTAACGTTTTTAACATTCCTTTGCTTCTGTTTAGTTTTATCTGAACCTTAAAATCCGGCTGTTATTTTTTCCGTGCAAACTTCAAAAGTATACTACTACTTTCATTTATCTTTGTGGTCACTAATGTACCCTATCGATTTCTCGAGCAGTAGTACCTTTTAAAATTCCATCTTGTGAAACTACTTTGACGTTTTAGATTAAATTTTTAGTTGAGTCCAAATTTATAAACACATTCATTTTTACTGCAGGAGCGTTCGTTATTTACATTTATTTATATACTTTCATAGAGATATTTGATTCCTAGTTTAGGTTTGTTGCGCGAAAATCGGAGTCAGTTTTCAGTTTTTTCTTGTCAACATTTTATTTGCACACGCTGTAAATAAATATGTTGCCGGTTTTTCAATGCATTTTATTTAATTTCAAAATATTCTTGCTGATTTATGTTCGTCAAGTATGTACTAAAGCTACTTCTACTTAAGTCCTGCACAAGAGAGGGAGTGGGGTGTAAAATGGGCGACACCCCAGTTCCTGCAGGTAAACTGAACACGATTCAAGATGCACAAATTCATTCTGAGTGAGTTATGTTGGTAACATTCATCAAAACCTTGCAACCTATTTAGTTATTTCATTTAAGTAGTATTAGCATCATTAGTTATCAACTTATCACCTATGCTTGCCATTCATATACCATGACCTAATGTAACAAATATACAGGCTGATTTACATTATATGTTGAAAACTTAAGGCGTCTTCCTGGCATAAAAATAAATGTTCAAAAAAATATATGTCCAAAAATGCATAGTTTTAAGTTATATTTTTATAGAACCAAAAACTTATACATTTCCAATGGACGTTTTAAAAACTACAGATTTAAGGGGAGCGTGTAAGCACCAATTTTAGCACTTCAGAAAAGTCCATTCTATAGGTCCGAAAGGCGCTGTCCCTTGGTACTGAAAATATCAATAAAGGTCGAACTGTTCTACAAAAAGAAAGCCGAGGTACCTGCATTGTATTATCCTAAGGTATTAGCGATCCGTTTTGTTTTCAAACTTAAACTGTTGGTAATAAAAACACATGCTTATGAACCACAAATGTGTTCGCATGGGTATAATCCTACGTTCCTTTTTATTATAACTATTAAAAAGAAATACATATTACATAATGTTTTCAATTTTACTTCATTTTAGTTAATTATTACTTTTTATATAAAATTTTCAAATTTTCGTTTCGTTGTTTGTTATTGAGCTCGATTTATTTATAGATGAGTGAGGGGGGAAGCATTTTTTTCTCTCAATTCTCACTCACTCAAAATGTCAGTTATTTGTGTATCCGAGGTAATTTAAGTGATTGTTGATAGGGTAAAAATGTTATTAAAATAATTTCTATAACTTAATGGAAGTGAATTTATTATTCCGTTGTTTCTACTACAGTTTTCACTTTTTTAAATTTTTATTTACTTTGTGTTTCGAAGTTGACAGGAAACAAGAAATCGCCGAGAAACATCATAAAAGAAAAGATAAGTTTTTTTTCCATTTGAGTTACTGAGATAATGAGTTCAATTTTTTAACCACAAATTGCAAAGTTTATTACTGCGCACAAATCTAAATGAGTTTAAAGATTATAACCTGTTGGATAAAGGTAATAATAAACATTAATCTATTGCAATAACTGAAATTATTGTGATCAATGACCTAAATTTAATAGCTTTATATTAATTTAGAAAATTACAAGCATCTTTATTAGCCGTGCAACAATTATGACTACAATTTCTTTTATTCGACATTTTTATTATTGAAAGCGGATTAGTACGTCATCTGAATTTCAACACGGCATTCCTACAATAGAATTCTTTTTTGGCAAGATGTTGTAAAACTATAACAATTGGGACATCTGGTATGTTTGTTTCTGTCTTCGTCTGATACACAGTACGCAGGTAAAGACTGCCCGCACTCCTTAGCATTTTAGGGGTGGAGACAATTCAAAACACCTTGGATGGTAATGTGAATTACAGTTGACGGTGAACAGTTTTCAACAATTATTATAGGTTTATTTAATTTGCATTGTTGCCTCTGTGAAAAGCCCGTATATTCAGCACCGTATAACTTGAAAAGTTAATATGAATTTTTGTCAGGAAACCGTTCCTCACATTTTTAGCATATATTAAATCTCATCCTGTATAGTGGAGATACTCGTACTGTGAGCTTACCACTCAGCCGATTGGTGTGTCCCAGTACTTTTTTAAAGCTTCGTTTGATGATGGAAAATTGTCGTCTCAAACGGTCATTTTCAACATTTTAGTACTGTCATATAAAACACCTTACAGTTGTGGGGTGCAATTGACAATCTATTCTATTTTCGTTATATAGATGTTAGATCGATCGCCATATATTAGACTGTTTACGCAGGGCGCGTAGGCTAGATGTTCCCAACTCCTCCATGATATATATGTGATAGTGAAGTAACAGGTGTACAATGAAAAATATATTTGGACCCGGCGATAAAAATTCAACAACAAAATAATGTTAGATTAGAAAATATCATTTAATTTTAGTTGCAAATTATCTGCTAGCCGACACATTCTCGTTAACGTAAGAAACACCATCTTCAAGCCTTTGAAAAACTTGGGTTGGAAATAATAAAATATTCTGCAGAACAGTCGAACATTCTGTAGGGTCTGATATCTGTTACATTTTGAATTATTAAACAATTTGAACATATAATTACAACAAATGCTGGAAGTGGAACCTTCTTGTATGAGCAGTAAGCACCATTCTGTTGAAAGTAACCATAATTTATTCTTGGTATCTTGCAGCATTTATGTTTCCTGAAAATATAATTTATTTTATTGTTAAAACACTAAGGGCCGGTTTATAGAACAGCGAGTTAAATATTTAATCCTCGATTAGTTTAACAGAGAATTAAAATGTGGAATATGAGCCCGTGATTGGTTAAAATATGCGCGTTGCCTCGCAACGGACCTCAGTTAAAAGTTAATCGGGAATTAACTTTAACTTCGCTTTCTATAAATCGGGTCTTAGAGACTCTTTACCATAAAAAGACCGGACCAATAATTCTGCGTTGGTTAATCAGGGCCCAAACGCCGACTTTCTTGGAATATTTCGGCAACTCAAAGAAAAATTATGGATTTTCTGAAGTCCACATTCTTGTGTTTTGTGAGTTTATCATCCGGATCTAGAGTGTTTAGAAACCATTGACAATATTGAACTCTTTAAGGAAAATCAGCTAGACGTAATTCATGTATAGATGTGAGACGATAGGGAAACAAATGAAGATCTTTTCTTAGACTCGTATTACAGGTACCAATAGACAAACCAAGTTGTTGTGATAAATGACAGGTTTTCATGTGACAGATCCATTTTCTTGAAAATTTTTCAAACAAACGTTTAAAGTTTGTCGAAACTGCGTGTATTCTACGGCAAGGTCAGGGAATTCTCAAAACTCTTACATGCATAATCCAATTGAATTATGCTAAATTCCGTCTACTTTTATACCATTTCGATAGTAAAACATTACCATGAATACTTTATGTTATTCAGAAAACGCCAATCTTGGTTAAAAAAAAAAAACAGCAAAATGCACATTAGTTCTTAAGACTGATTTTTATCACGCAAATAAAGCAAAAAATTGATACTAAGTCTAGAAAATGTCGTCTTGAGGGCCTGTCTAATTTGCAGACCACAGTTTATCTTGCAGACTGGGGGTTAAAAATACTGCATTCAAGTCAAAACTCCATATTTCCTAATTTCTCAATACGAAGATTGTTGATACAAAATTTCAACCCGTGCAGAGAAACCCTTAAAAACTACCCCCAAAACAACCTTGCAGACTGGGGCTTAAAAATACTCCAATCAAGTCAAAATTTTATATTCGCTAGTCTGTCAATACGGGGATTATCGATACAAAATTTCAGCCTATTTGAAGAAACCCTCAAAAACTACCCCCAAAACAACCTTGTAGACTGGGCCTTAAAAATACTATTACCAAATCGAAACTTAGTGTTTAGTTTTTACCTATACGAGAAGTGATAATGCAAAAAAAACAGCCTTTTTTAAACTGCTCTTAACAAGTACCCCAAAGCAATCTTTCATAATGGAGCTTAAAAATACTCCAATTGAGTCGAAAGTTACCACTTGCTGAGTTCTTTACACAAAAAATTATCATGTTAAATTTTAGTCACCTTGAAGCAACTTATAAAAATGATTGATAGTTCACATTCATTTAAAGTACAAGTAGCTGAAAAATTTTAGACACATATAAAGAAACATATTTCTAAAGTAGGTGCACCATAGAGGTAGAATGAGAGGAGGGAAGATAGTTTGAAAAAATGCTTGGTACCGCGTTTTCTACTAGGGTCATAAATGGTTCTTCCAGGTCCTCCGAGAAACTGCTTGTTCCAGTGGCGTGCTCGAAAACGAAACTTTAAAAATTATTAATTTAACTAGTGATCGTTATTTCATTAAAGAACTATTCACTATTGACACATGATATATAAATTAGCAAAAAAAGAAGTCAAGTAAGCACAGAATTAAATTTAATTTAACAAAATAACAGAAACAGAGCGGCAATTTGAGAGACAGCAAAAGAGCTAAATGTTCAAAACATACAGCATCGCAGTTAGAGAGAATTCTCAGATGTTGCCGGCTATTGAGAATTCATCATTTTTTGGACAATCGTGTGGTTGTGCTGGGCGATGAAAAATATTTTACGTTTGCCTATTCAGAGATGGAAGGATGGATTTTATACAAACAATACCACAGGGCCCCACTTTGTAAATTTCCCAAGTGGACCCCCACCCTGCACAGTATAGAAGAAATTACAACTAAAATTAAGTCGAAGACAAAGTTTGAAGATAAAATTTTGTTTTGAAGGGCTATATTTTCGGCTGGCGGTTCAGCACCATTCATTGGCACTATTGGAAATGACGCGGTCAATACATAACAATATATGGGAACACCATAATAACGAAGATGTAACATTTTGGCCAGATTTAGCAAGATGCCATTATACTGCAATGTCCAGGGATTGATTAGAAAGAAATAATATAAATTTTGTACCTAAGATAATCCCCCATAGTGCCCCCCGTGCGAACAATAGAAAACAAAATTTGTGTAATACTAAGTAGAAAGGTTTACAACAACGGTTGGGAAGCCAATTTAGAAGAACAAATTATCAGAAAGTTAGAGAAATGGACGTGGACACCATCCAAAGGCTGTAAAACCTACATATGAAGACAATTTTGAGTCGTACTAAATATAACGGATCTTTATCTGTTTTCCCATTAATAATAATTAATTAAGAAATTAGCACTTTTCTGGGTTCTTTTTGAAATTCAAATAAAACTAAGTTTGAGCTTCCTATTATTATTAATTTAAACTTTCTCTCAAAACTTTTTTTTTTACGTTAGGTTTCTCAGAAATTAAAAATGTCTCTAATTTTCTTTAAAATATCTTTAAAATTTTGTTTCCTATGAATTTTAAATTTTCTCTTCTGGACACCAGTTTGTATTTTTTGACTGATGATGAAAGTTTAATTATACCTCAAAGAACTCAAAACCAGCATATAGTATGTACTGAATGAACCAAGTTAACAGCAAAAATGACGTGTAAAAACACACCCTAAAATGAGAGACTGGACGAAAAAATGTCGAACTTATGCATTCTAACATCGTAGCAACTGATTATTATTATTATCTAACAGTGATAAACATGAACTCTAATTATCGCAATTCATGTATCTATAACAAATACTCCTATATTCGTAATTTATATATTTTTTAAATTTAAATATTAATAAATTAATTAATAATTAACAATAAAATAATACAAAAATAAATTAAAAAAATTAAATTAAATTTAAATAATAAAATAATGTTTTGAAGTGATTCGTTAGGGACCCTGAGCTTTTAGGGCGATCGCCGGGTAGCCGGGCGAGCCAGTCCGACGCTGTTTTAATCCCTAGTCTGTTTCTTTTAAGGATTTCTCCGAATGTATTGAAATTTTGTATCAACAATCCTCGTTTTGATAAATAAGCAAATGTCGAGTTTTGACTTGACTGGAGTATTTTTAACCCCTATTCTCCGAATAGGCGGAAATTTTGCATCAATAATCCCCGATTTGAAAAACTAGCGAATGTCAAATTTTGACTTGATTCGAGTATTTTTAGGCTCCAGTCTGCAAGTTTGTTGTGGGGGTAGTTTTTAACGGTTTCTCCGAACAGATTGAAATTTTGAATCAACAATCTTGGTATTGAGAAATAAGCAAATATCGAGTTTTAACTTGATTGGAGCATTTTTAACCTCCAGCCTGCAAGATAAACTGTGGTCTGCAAATTAGAAACGCCTCAAGTAGAATATCAGTTATCAACTCGACTGCACTTAAGATAGTAATGCTTAAACTATCCATGGTGTAAATTATATTCGGTTGCCTACTTAGTCTTAATTATAAATAAGCACCAAATAATCATTCCAAGGTCTGTCCAAATATATTTTTTATGGGACACCCGTTAGAATCTGCAAACAGTGCAGTAATAAAAGCACTTGAACAACGAACCTAGCCGTGCTATTGGTTAGACAACAGATATCGTGAACTCAGTTGGGCTTTAGTGTTGTTCATGCCCCTCTATGTAATTGTTGCATCTGTTGGGTGATGGTAGTATAATTATCACAAGATCGAAGAGTCAGTGCAGAACAAAGAAAAATCGTATTAAAGATTTACCTAACACTAGAACACTAATTTAAAAAAGCTCCACATCTGTATTGAAAATTGAACTAGTACTTAAAAAAGTAGTCAGAGAAATTCACGACAAACAACACTGTTTATGTGAATGTTTAAATAATTACATAGTACGTGGTGAAGACCCATAGCATTGACGTCACAACTATTACTGTAAACTACATTAGATATTTTTTTCAAAATAGTCCGAAGGTATTACTTGTTGACTTGATTAAATCTCCTATGACGCCAGTCTTCAGTTATTATGAAAGCGTTGCACATATAAACTTCACGATAGGTGGGTTAGAACTATTCAGGGTGATTTATTTTAACCTGAAACTTTCAAATATCTCGAAAAATAAGCACTCTGCGAAAAAATGTCTAGAATCAAAATTTAATCATGCCACAGGGGAAATACATCACGGCCAAAAATATCCCCCCTCCCCCTCTCTTTGTAGATGGGGCAGGTGTTAACTTCGAAACCTTAAATGGGAACTGCTATTTTTTATTGCGTACGGCTAAAAGTACGTCTGATTTGTTTGAAACATTTTTTTCCATTCGTGATGATAGATGGCGCTGAATAGACGAAATTCTGCAATACGTTGGCAATAAAGATTTCACGTTTTAAGTAAATGCTGGAAATTCGTCGTCAAAAAATTTATTTGTGTTGCATATTTCGAATAACTTGGAAATTGTTGCCTGTAGAAATGTAAATTGCTGGCGAATAAACTACTTTTAGCGTAACAACGATGTGGACGAGTTAGTCTTCAAAATGATGGCCTTCAAATTCCATGTATGTTGAATGTACACTGTGTTTGCTTCCATCGAATAGTGTGCTGGACAACCATCATGTTGAAACCACATATTTTCAAGTAATGTTGGCAGTTCATTTTTCAAAATGTCTTCGATACATTTCACCATTGTTGCCTTCAATAATGTGGCGACTCATTTTTGATTATTTACAATGAAAACGTCGTAATTTTTGCTGCAGAATTGTATGCATATCAAATCGAAAAAAAATTAATTTCGTTAATTATAGCGTCATCTGTCATGAATATAAAAAAATGTTTTGGACAAAAATCTGTGATAAAAGTTCGGGGTTCCTATTTAAGATTTCGAAGTTACCCCCGCCTACAAGGAGGGGGACGGGGACTAGTTTTTTGCACTAAAGTATTCCCCCACGGAATGATTAAATTTTGAATCTAGACATTTTTTGTAGAGTGCTTATTTTTCGAGATATTTGAAAGTTTCAGGTTAAAAAAAAAGTGCTTTTCTATGAGAGATACATGCCAATACTATGACTTTATCCATCTACCTCTTGCAAAAAAAAAAAACACTCTACTTCATTTTCAAACAACCACTTTTGCTGTAACCAACAACTGATTGCGTTTTTCTAAGATGTATTACTAGATATGGGGTCAAACGACATAAGACTTCGTGTGAATTTTGTAGGTTAGATAAAAAGATATACAACTTGTTTTAATTCGCCATTTTACGAGACGATTTTTAGGCCTGGAACAAAATAACTCCATTTTTACATTACTACCATAAATATTTATTTTCCATTAGGATCTAATACACAAGTAATGATAAAGTAAGGTAGTTAAAAGTTTAATTTTCCAGTGATGAGGCTTTCTACATATATCTCTTGCGGCGACATTACACATTGAGCTGTGTAAAATTGTATGCCACAAATTCTCTGTCTTTTGTTGTTATCTTTAGGGATAATCTTATTGCGTTACTTTATCATATTCAAAGAAAACCGATATATTTTTCAAACAATTTTGTTATTGTTTTTCTAGAATACACCACCACCAACTGAAAACAGCGGTTCGTCTACTAGTAGTGGTGGAAGCAGTAATTATGGCACGCTCGGTAGGGGAGGAGGTGGAAGCATGGCTTCGATGATGGACGAAATGGCGAAAACGTTAGCTCGGAGAAGAGCAGCGGTACGATATTTTCGCATCTAAAGCAACATTGAACGAAAATATTGTTTCGTTTTTAGGTGGAAAAGAAAAACACCGATAAAGATGAAGATGAGAAAAAGGCGGTATGGGAAAAAACAAACACTCTACCAAGTAATACTTCCAAATTCTCTGAGTCTCCTAAAAGTATCCGCAAGAGGTTCGGCTCAGCCTCCGAGGAAACTATATTGAAAGTAAACGGCCTATCCGAAGTTTCTGGGCTGTCACTTGGACCAACTGAATTAGAGAGCCTCAAGAATGAAATAGTAAAAGAAGTTAAAAAAGAAATATCGAAAATGAAACAAGATATTATAGATGGTGAGAAAATGAGTGAGTTTTTTACAAGTGCTAATTTTTTCTGTTGTAGCAATCAAATCAGAACTGAACCGAAGGTAATTTATTATTGCCTTATACTGTAACTGCGACGTTATAACCGTGAATTTTTTTAATATGGATAATTTTTACACTTGGATCAAATCATGCGACAATTTATAATATTATAGTAATATTATTCGGTCTTAACGTAAACACTGTACGTTTATGGGAAGAGTATGTTATTTAATGTTTCCTATTTGCTGTTCTGTACGTTATTAGTAGCCAGCAGCGAAAAGAGGAAATGAGAATCGACGGGTTGTGTAGACACATGAAGTTGAAAATATTTTCAACTCTTTTAACATTGCTTTATTTGTGATCAGAAATTCATAAATGCATGTGTCAAGTACAGAATAGCTGAATTTTAAAGTAATGCTATATAGGTGTCGTGGATATAGAGCACTTTTATTATAAGTTTTAACATAGTATTTATTTTATTATAAGTTTAATTAGGTATTTAAAATTTTTCAATGATTCCTATGTAACACTGTTTAAAAATCGTTTAATTAAATCACAATTGACTTAAAAATCTCGACATGACAAAAAATATCACAGTTTTATATTATTTTAGTATTACCAGTATTTTTAAAGTCACAATCGGTATTCGTGAAAAATCATTTTTACGCAGTGTTGCAATTCTTGTAAATATTTATATAGCGTGGGACTTCCAATGACCTATTTATTAACTGCTGTTTTAGTTGTTGCTGAATAGAAAATGTCCAAAAACAGTCTTACTCTTGTTCAGGAAAGTGTGTTTTCGTCATATTTTATGCTTTTTATAAAAGAAGTATTGAGAAAAATTGTGCCAATATCATTTGACTTGTAAATGCAATGTAAGAGTAAGATTGTTGTGAAGGCATTTGTGCTACCAATTCTGTTACGTTCAAAAAGGAAACAATGATCGTGTGTATATTATAGATCCATAAGTTATAGATGCTTACTAGATTAGTGTCAAATCATATATACATCGAACGTTTCCATTTATCATTCTTCAGATTTTATATGAAACATTGGTAACTTTGCGAACGACAGCAAAGAAGTTTATGCAATTGAATTATTGTTTCGATATAAAGAACGTATGATTTCCAAGAACGCCATAAACGTACTCCCATTAAACATAACATTACTCTTTAAGGTGATTCATTGGTTAAAGTTTGATGCTGTCACGTTGGTGAAGTGATCTGTATTGTTATCGAAACGCAGAATGTAAAAATCACATTGGAAAAATTTGTAAGACGTTTTTAAATGATATTTAAGTATGAGCGAATTACTGTATTTCAGACATAATCAGTGACGGCATTTTTTACACATATTATTTCTTTCATATTGAGTATATTGTAATAACTTTGTGATATTGTATTATTGCATTTTTAATTCGTGCATTTATAATTGTATATTATTTAATACGATTTGTTTAGTTTAATTTTGTATGTGATCTCAAGTCAAAATTAGCACAATTTTTCTATTCGAAAATGTTTTTTTTTTCGTAACTATATTTGTGTTATAAAATTTACAATGTATTTAAAATAAACATATTTAAAGTACAAATTTATCAATAATAATTTTATTTAATGCAATTAATTTAGAAGTAAAACTTCTAGATAGGACCTTCCGTTTCAGTAAATGCTGTATTTAAAATTGACAGAGATTTTTCAGTTTTTTCAGCTGTTTATCCTTTTACGTGTTATTACATTCGCTTTTGTATTGGCCATGACATATACCTCTCACAAAAAATAAAGTCTATTGTTTTCTATCCCTTGACACCCCATTTAAACGCCGATAACGACAGGATTAGAAAGGTATTTTTCAACTTTTCAGAGTAAAAAATAAGGATAACTTCCGTTGACATCAAGTAAACAATTGTAACTTGTAATTTAAGCGATTCAGCCTTGGAAGCTAACGGGAAGTAGCATTCCCTTGAAACGACGCCACAAAAACTAGAAAAATCTTAAAAACTGACGCAGTTTCTACTCAATGTTGCACTCATTTAAAGGAAGGGCGTCTTATGAAAGAGTTAAATGAAATTAATCTCAAACATGTTAAGTAAAATATGCGTAATAAAATATTATAGAAAATAGAACTTAATTTTTAAATTTCAAATTGCATAAAAAAATATGTTAAAAACTAACAAAATCAGCACTAACAGTACCAATTGTTCGTACATTGGTTTAGATATTACTTCACCCCGTACTGAAACAAGTGTGCTGAATAAAACGGTCTGCTCCCTCAAGACCACCAGAGTACCACCGACTCTTCTAGGTGAACTCTACAGCTCTGTCTGACTGGTCAAGGTGAAGGATAAATTTCAAGATTAGCTATAGCTATAACTCGTGGCACAGGCCAGGAGAAAAAACCTTCAGACCATGAATTGTCTTATACTTCTTATTCATAAGACTTTCTAAATAATTATTTTTTAAGAACTGCACCAAACTCTTTTTAAAGCAGTTATTAGTTTAGTGTGAATACTTGCTTATTTTTTGTAGCGCGTAGAAGACGGTCAATTTATTGTCACTACTACGCTTTCAAAAATTGTAGAAGCTAGGAGTTTGGATAATAAAAAAAAAGTCACGTTATTATGGGGTGATTAATGTTATATCTATAGTTATATCCAACTTTTTTTAATTTCTAATAAAGTTTAATTGGTACAACAAGACTTCTTAATACGGATGAATATTTAAAGCTAGACATAGACACTAATGCACAGTATACTAAAAACAGTTAAGTGTAAAACATAAAAAAACAGATTATCTGTAATTGATAATAATTATGTCCTAATAATATATTATTAACGAAATAGTTTTAAATTACCAGAAAACTTGTTAATGTTTGAAGTTTTTTTAAGGTCTCCTTTACTTTGCTGATGTTTTAAAAATTTACCATACCAGCTCTTCAAAAAAATCTATATAAATTTGAATACCTACACAAAGCAAAACAAATTGCCATTAATTGTTATAAAAACGTTTTTCAGGTTTGAAGCGTGTGAAATTTAAAGATTACTACTATTATAAACAATAAAATAAAAATAATACGTGTTCACTAATTCTCAGGTTCAGATTAGAAAATTACCAATTAACTGAACTTACACTAATTAATCTCGTTCCAGGAGACAGTGGCGCCGAATGCGATTCATTTTTGTTTAAGCAATTACCCTTTGATGAAATTACAAATTCAATTAAGTGCCAATTTTAACACGTGCTTGTACTCACATCATTAAATAAAAAGTGAGGTCAAGAGATCCTATGAAGTAACAAATGATGTTAATTTAAAACTATTAAATGAGACGAGTGATTTTATTGTGGTTTATTTAAAAGTTCTTGTCATTCTCATTGTCTTTCCAAAGTTTCAGTATATAAAACATTTGCAAAACAATTGGGCACTCCCCAGTCTTTGTTATTTAAACCAAACGCCCATGGCCTTGTTTTAGGCATGACATGTTTTATAACAGTTTAAACTACCGAAATACTGGGTGACTGTTAATGATTGTGACTTAACTCCTGTCAAAATTGACAATTGTGAACTGATATGTTAACACTACTACCAATAATTCAGAATCACCAACACAAAAATTTGTTTAAGTCACCTAGTACTTACTTCCACACATTATACAATTTACAGTTGTACAGTTGTTACTACTTAACAAAAATTTACTTCAGTTGTCCTGAAAATCCTATTTCTCCAGAATATCCATTAGAATTAAATTATTAGATAAATTTAGAAAAAATTCAAATGATTATAAAAACAAACTGTGGTGATTATCCGGAGACATCTGTTCAGAATACCTATGATTTTTTCCTTGGTATCAGCTAACAGAAAGTGATCAATACAGTCCCCAAAGGGTTATAAAACGTAAACCAATATCAGCGGTTTCCATTTTTGTCTGTCCTATTTGTTTTATTGATTGAAGCATATTTTTGCTTTACGGAAACGTCCGTTGCTATAATTGCATTAACCGAACCGTTATATTGTTACGACGATTGGTGAATAAAATCGGCGTGGGTAAAACTCAACAACTTATTTCTTAGTGCCCCAAATTTACACGACTAATTACACAGCGATTATGTACAAAATAATTCTGGCGCAACTTCACTGGGTTTTCTTAACACTCGTTGGACTTGTTAACTGAATTCAGCTCTCGTTCTCTGGACTACACAAACTACTCCCGACGGTGGTTCCCATTTAAACAGCCACGCGGTCCTTCTCTAAGGTCTCCGTCACCTCTTCTAGGCTTATTCTCGAACACCCGTCGCGACATGAGTCATCGTCATCGTATAGACCTTCTGGTCGGCCCATAGGCGTCGTACCGGGGCGGCGTATGGGTTTATTTCGTAACAATATATTAAACAGAAGTCAAAGGGTTCATTCTGTTGAGAGCTTCTTGAAACTGTGGTTGAGGTCTTGGAAGCACAATTTGAAACCTGTTTTGGTAGGTTACCTATGGTTTACTCTGAACGTTGATATTTTCTGATGGACGAAAATAAAAACCTAAACTAATCAAAGACAATATATGATAAAAACTTTTGATGCAAACACATTATTAACCGTCGTTTTGCAAAAATTTGCAAATTTTGTTTTAATATTTCCAAAACAGTAGGTACAAATTACGATCACAGTATTTCAATTTATTTGTTAGATCGTTGATCGGTACAACTTTTATAATTTAGCTTATCTCGTACCTTTGACCAAGTAAGGGACTTATTTTAAGAATCTTTTTTTATTCATTTTATTTTTTCATAATAGAGTTTGTTTTTATTATCAAATTCTAGAAAATGAAAGAAGCAGTAAAACTTATTCCCTTCATCGTAATTAAAGTAAAATAACTGTAAGTCATTTATTACCGCCAGCTAATTTTAGGATGTCGATTCCGTCATCAGGTCATCACACTTTACTTCTCTAAGGTATGCTAATAAAAATTAAATTACTAAATGGCTAAAAATAGTAAAAAGTGAATTTTCTCGGCCAGCACATTAATTACATACCCAGATTTTTATCAAAGACATTATAAAATAAAAAAATCGTCGCAATTAAAATGTAATAAATGTGACATTTTTAAAAATTAACGTACAAGGAAATTCTCTATGTGGTTAATTTAATGTAGTTAAAGAAAATGCCAAGCGATGCAAGTCCTTTACTGTCAAAACTATTTGTATTGTTGAAGGTTTTGAACTGTTTACATATTTTTATATAATTCGGAACATAAGCTTTAGCTTTAGAAAACATCTCTTAACGTGAACAAATTTTTCATGGAAAACTTTTGTTCCGCTTAAAAAAACACCCTCATACACACATTCTATAAACATAAAAACTTAGAATTACAATGTGCATGTTAATATATTTTTGTCACGTGAAATCATTAAAATGAGTAAATGGAATTTTTATGTTTAATAATATTACTGTTACGTTGGGTGGGTGATTGAAATCGGCGTGGGTAAAACTCAACAATTTTATTTCTTAATACCTAACTCGAATTTACAAGACTGATTACACAGCGATTATGTACAAAATAATCCCGGCGTAACTTCTCTTGATTCAACTAGCTGAATAATAACAAGTTGCATAATTTTGTAAAAATAACAAAAATTGATTGCATTAACAATTTAGTAAGGCAATATTTATTCCCTCTTTAAATTTTATAAAGTCACAAAAATTATTAAATAAATATATCCACCTCTATTTTATTTTGAGTTACCTAAAAAGTTAAATACGACGAACAAAATTTTATGTTATGACTTATGAAGTATGAGAGTATAGGTTTAAATTATTTTGTTTGTCTATCATCTGTTGGCGAGTCAGACAATTTTTGAAACTACTGAACTGACTGTTACGAAATTTTACAGGTAAGTATTTAAAAATTATTGTGTAGATGTAAAACGCAACCCAAAATTTGTTTGATTATCCCTATTACCGGAAGTAGGTTAGGCATGTAGATTTTTGAAAAAAAAGATAGGAGTAAAATTTATTGAAGAACTTTGTGGTAGTAGTATAGTGTATCCCTATTTTTAGAATTGATTTCCAGCATGTTAAAAAAGGATGAATAAAGCGGTTAATTTAATAATTAAATCAAAAACGATTTATCTAATTTTCCCCAAATTCTAAGTAGGTACATACCACCAATATTAGTGTTAAATACACTATGGCTTCTCTGAATTAATGTATTCAACGCTGTTGCGTCTATTAAAATTAATTTTAATTGCCGATAATTTTGTAAACCTTATATTTGAAACAAACACATAAAAACACAAAACTAATTGTCCTTATCAACTGGCCTTTAACTTTGATTTCAATTTTACGTCAGTTTATTAATCAATTTCTTTGTGACTTTAAAAACTGCTGCATGAAACGTCCGTTCTAACCTACTTCACGGTAGTGAAATCGAAATAGGTTGTTTTCAACAAGACCGGGCTACAGCGCATTCGGCTAGGCCCAACGTTACGGGAATTTTTTGACAACTAGTGGAAATACTAGCTCTTACACTTGCAGAGGTACAATAATGCAGAGATGTACCTAATCCTTGAAGTTAAACGAAGAGCTCATTTATGCTTACAAAAAAATGAAGACTAACATGTTCGGCATTTACTGCCATTTAATATAATTTATTAATAAAATTAATTAACCTTGTGCCACATTTCCTTACAACTTCATGCTTATTTGATTAAAAATCTCGTTACAAAGTGTCCGCCATTTTTTCTTTCACATTTGTTGTTTTTTGACATTTTTATCAGTGTGGTTTAATCACCGACATGCTAAATTCTTTCCAATGATGACTACAAATTATGTTGCTCGCCCGATATTTGTCGTCACTGAAAAGTTGATGACGCTATTACAAAGTTTTATATGTTGGTTTTGGAATTTTGATGCCGCTACCAAGAAAAACAAAGCTAGTAAAAACATTGTAGAAAGTTATTTTGACAGAACTTCCCTCGCCTTTGAAGTATGGTCCGATAAATTCCGCTTCTTTAAAATTTTATAAAATTAGATTCTGCGATTTTCGTTTTGTTGATAACTGTTAACCTCTATAAAGTGGCGTAATTAACATCCCCGCAATCCCTATGTCTTTAAATATGAAATCTATTTAAAGCAGATAACTAATGGGAAAAATGTAGACAATTTCAATTTCTCAGTATATGCCTAACTTCGACTGTTTATGTTTATACTTCGACCGAATTCGATTACTAGCACAAACATCAGCGATTAAAATAAAATGAAATTTGGTTGATTTTGTGTCCTCAACGCAGAGGAAAGGACTGATTGATTAATTCATACTCTGTTTTTTCCCAAAAACTCATAAATTTGAAGAAATTCGGCAAAAATGTAAGATAACGGACAAATTTTGACTAACGATTTACTTTATTTCAAGTTACATTGTAAAATATTGTTGTATATAATGTTGATTTTTTTCCAAAAATCTGGGTGCTAAGGGTAAAAACTCAACACGGATTCATAAATCACACATGCAGGAATATGTTATTTTATAAAATTTAAAGAACATTTGTTCGGCAGAATTCTAAGATGGCGTCATAATTTTTTGGGAAGGCCTTAAACGAACAAATTTTGATTAACGATTTATCATCTTTCCTATGATCTTAAAACGTTTGCAGTATTTCAGTACATTCAATTTTGCAATTATCAAGTTAAATTGTAAAAGATAATTTTGAATTTTTTCCCAAATATCTCGATGTCTATGGTAAAAAACTCAAGAGGGATTCTAAATTACATATACATGGAGTATAAATTAATAGTTCTATAAAATTTATGAAACTTTTGTTCTGCAAAATTATAAAATGACGTCATCATTTTTTACGAGGCCATAAACGAAAAGATTTTGTTGTAAGTTTTTAAAGCATTCGGTTTTACACTTTCAAAGTTAGGTTGTACACTGTTACACAGTTTCCCCACAAAAATCTGGATGTTTAGAGTGAAAACTCGACACGGATTCATGAATCACACATGCAGGAACAGGAGTATGCAATCCTATAAAATTAAATATAAAACACCAAAAAAAGGAACAAATTAGTAGTAAGTAAAATCGTACCATTCACTCCACATTTTGTTTTTTAATTTATTATAAGGTGCTTTATCATTTTTTTATTTAATAAAAATCTCAAAGTCAGCGGTTTCTACATAGATCCACTGGAATCATGGTCAAAATCTTTGGAAATTGACAAAATAACCTTAAAAATGGGGTGAAAAATGCATTAAAAAAACTTGACGACAAAAAGTTTGCTTAAAAAGATGATGAAGTAGGTACCTTAACATATATGAAAAAACAGAAATTTCATCTAAAATGTATGATAATTCATTCCATAAACTCGTCATTATTGTTTTAGAGGGGCATAAACGAAAAAAAATTGATTAACGATTTACCATGCATACGATAACCTAAAACGTTTCCAAAATTTCAGAACAGTTTAAAAGTTAAATTGCAAGATGTTGCAATTTTTATTTTTTTCTCTAGAAATCTGGAATCTTCGATAAAAATTCAACAAGAATTTATAAACCACATGTGCAGAAGTATCTAATTTTCTAAAATTTAAAGAATGTTTACTACTGTAAATTTTGGAGATGACGTCAACGAATTGTTGGTAGTGATGATTAGCCAACTTTTGATCATCTAGACAATATTCGTAATACACATCTAAAATTTAACAACTGGTTCAGTAGTTTCGCAGATTATTTGTCTAATAAAAATCCGGACAGACGATAGACAGACAGACAGACGGAAACGGGCGATCTATTGTTTCGTACTGAATTTACGCTCTGAAAGTAAAAAGATGCTCTTATTTCATGTTTTCAATATATCGTTTTTTATGTGTCTGTTATCTGTTATATTTTTCGGAATATTTATTGCATTTGTAACTGTAACATCCTGCATATGTGAAAAATGTAAATAATTTTAAAAATGTAATAAAATTTTACAGTTGTACAATTACGTTACTCACTGGACCATACAAATAAATTCTAAAGTGCGTCTAATTTCACTAGAAAAATATATAAATAAATACGATACGGTAAAAGTATAAAAAGTATTCACTGTAACTACCTGAAATTTGCAGAGACTTTGCACAATTTAAAGTTCACAATAGACACGTATTTTTTTCCAGCTCTTATCCCTACTAGTTTTAGTAGTTTTTACAAAATGGTCAAGGGGAAATTTTATTTGAACCCAACATTTGAAAAAACTCGATATACTGAGTTTTATCTCCCAGTGTCAATGTCTTTTCTTTTAATATTAGTATGTATGGAATAAATTTAACTTAATTGAAAAGTGTATTTTCTCTGGTATATATGTATTATGCAATATCAAAAAATTTGTCTCAATTATAGCATCTAACGGTCCTATTTCAAGCTGTGGCGAATTTTGGCGTGTTATTGCTGGGTCATTCATAAGCAATTTTCTTGGTGTTGCTATGAGGTCAATTTAATTGGAGGCGACATAAAGTCTAGTTGAAATTAAGCCCTAAGCTAACAACTTTAGAAAACGGTTAATTGTGTTTTCAATTAATTAAAATAAATAATTAAACTCAAACCCACATAAAACCAAGAACAAGTTTTATTTTACAGCAGCACTGCCCAAACTGTAAATCATTTTTTTAATTGTTCAACAAAACATATTCGTAGTGACAGGTGAGAGTGGTTTTATTCAAAGATTTCTTTATTACTGGGCAACTATGCTATATATTACCTAGAAATATATGTAAGAGAAATATTATTATTAATTTGACATGCCGATGATAAAACACCGGAAATTATTCATACCGCTTCCAGCTGCACACAAAAAGATAAGAGTGTATCAGATTGTATAACACCCAAACACAGCAGTGTTACTTTGTAGCGGTTTTATATCCAGTCTTATATACCAAGAGGGAAGAGAGGTGGAAGAAAGCATGGCCCAATGCCCATTGCGTATCGACGTTTTGAACCAAGTGATGGCGCGATGGCAAGGCAACCGTACACAGCTTTGTGCCAATGCCAGTAATCGAACGTTCTTTGTTGAGGTGTGTTGTTAATGTGGACACAACATCCACGATAAATAAACGTAACTACCTTTAGTGACTGACATTAAATAAGTAGTTGTTAAGCTTTTAAATTTCAAGTGTGTTAGTTTCAAGTAACTGTGACATTCCTTCCCACAACCCATAAGGTGATCGATTGTTTGAGGTAAAAAGTTGATATTACATAAAGGCAAAGTTTACATTCGCTATATCGTAAACGTTAGGTACACCATAAAATAAAACTGAGACAATATTATTACAGTCGTAAATATAGGTATACTCTGTTCCATTATTGCTGAAAATAATTATTTCATTAAATGTCACCTAAATGCAGTAAAAGCTGTAAAATTAACGAAATCTTCTTTTAAAAATTTCCACACTGTTGAACAAAATTTAAATTTAAAAATATTTTTATTGTGTTCTATTTAAATAAAACCGGGGACTTGAATATGTAAGTGACCTTAGGTCGTTCATTATTTTGAGCTGTTGAGCTAAGTGTTCTAGGTAAAAGTAAAATAATGATTATGCACTCGGTTGTGAATAATGCATTCATTATCACCGTTGCCGAGTTAAATTTAATTTTTCTTAACAAAGAAATTATTTTTATACGCATTTATTGTGTACATACTTTGTGTGTATCGGTAGGCCAGGATTTACGTACCACCTGTTAGACACGTTACAAGTTATATCATTTTTTTATTTAGACGGCGGTTTGACCTTTTGTTATTTATATTTCACTAATTTATTGATTAATTAGTTTCCACTGTGTAAATATTGTAACGATTACAAGACACTTAATAATTTACTATTATTTTAAAAATTTGTAATAGTTATTTTTAGCTGCTTACTTATGCTAGATAGATATAAAAGAGTTGAATTATCATAAAATGATAAGAAAAATGGTATAAGGTCTCTTTATCACAATAATTTGTATGGCGTTTCGTATGTGAAACTACATACACCGAAAAAGTGAAAACATACAATTGTGGGAACAGATGTCGACACCTCCATTTCGACACATTTTTGTGCAAAAATTAAAATGTACACAATAAACGTGAAAATATTAACATTCTAATCTTTTATACGTTATGACAATGTTTATTATATCTAGTCCACTTATTTATACCGGCAGCAATGTTTATGTTATTGTTCTAAACAGACAATACCATTTTCATTACAATAAACAGACACTTGGAATTAAAAAACAAACACTTTTGGGAACACGACGATTACGTTAAGAACCGTAGGAAGTTTTAGTTAAACAATTTCGTTTGTACATATTATCTAAAAAACTTAACTGTTAGTCACGCTTAAAGTAAATCGAAACATTTTCATACTTGAGTAGCTTAGCTTAAACACCTCTGCAAAAATGTACAAAAGCGTATGATTAATAAGCCACCTCTCTTTTTACAAATTAATTTACAACCTATGAAACCCATTGCTCTGAAATACGGAACACGCCCTTCTAAAAACTTGATGATGTCATTTCAGAAGTTTGCTAAGTAAATCTCGCTGGAAATATATACTGTGTCAAATTCCTTATTTGCAAATATCGATATTTTTAATCATACCTACTATGTATTCCCGAAAAAGTTTATATTTATTTTAAATTTGGAACAGTAATGAGTGATCTATTCTTTGATTTGACCTGAATTTAGTATCAATTTCTTGACTGCTGTATCTCATTTAACCTCAATAGAATGGATACTGAAATTAGAATTTATTTATGTAAAAAATGTATCCATTTTTACTTCCCGAAGCGTAAGCAAAGGAAGTATTGTAATCGAGTCCGTCGGCCGACTCTCTACTTTTACGTTTTCTCGATCTTTCATGACCCCTAGAAGACGAAGAAATAGGTCTCCCATTTCCGTCTGTCTGTCCGTCTGTCCGTCCGTCTGTCCGTCCGTCTGTCCGTCTGTCCGTCTGTCCGTCTGCCGTCCCGGCTTTTTATTAGACAGATAATCTCCGAAAGTACTCGACCGATTGTTGTGAAATTTTGTACTTATATTAAGAATATCATGTAGATGGTAAAACGCTAACCAAAATTTGTCTAATCATCCCCACCACTAATGCGATGACGTCACTTCAAAATTGTACATAGTAAATGGGTTTTCAATTGTATAAAATAACATAGTCCTACACATGTAGTTTACAACTCTGAATCGACTTTTCACCCGAAACGTCGAGATTTTTGGAAAAAAAATCAAAATTATAAAACAACATTTTGAAATGTAATTTTTAATCTGCTAACCAGAATGCTTCGACATGTTGCAGATGTTTTAAGGCTATAAAGAGCATCATAAATCTTTAGTCAAAAAATATTTGCTTATCCCCTCCAAAAACTTGATGACGTCAGCTCAAAAGTTTGTGGAATAAATCATATCTAAAAGGTACAAAATATGATGAGTCTCTACTTGTGATCTATCACTCCATTCATATTTTTTGGATTTGCATATACAGGGTGACTCAAAAAAATTAATGAATGCGTAAATTTATTTTATTGATTTAATCAGGAACTACAAAACCGAATGCTTTGAAATCTTGCAGATGTTTTAAGGTTATAAAGAGCATAATAAATTTTTAGTCAAAATATATTTGGTTATCTTCTACAAAAAACTGATGACGTCAGCTCAAAAGTTTGCCGAATAAATCGTATCTAAAATGTACAAAATATGATGAGTCTGTACTTGTGATTTATCATTCCATTCATATTTTTGGATTTGCATATGCAGGGTGACTCAAAAAAATTAATGAAGGCGTGAATTTATTTTATCGATTTAATCAGGAATTACAAAACCGAATGCTTTGAAATCTTGGGAATATTTTAAAGTTATTATAAGCATGGTAAACTTTTGTTCAAAATGTATTTGTTCATCCCTCCTAAAAAAATTGATGACGTCACCCTTAAATTTTGCTGAATAAATCCTATCTAAAATGCAAAAAATATGATGAGTTTCTACTTGTGATTTATCATTCCATTCATATTTTTTAGATTTTCTTAAGAGGTGGTTCAAAAAAATTAATGAAGCCAATTTATTTTATTGATTAAATTAAAGGCAACACTTATTATTAGTATTACACCCCAACCAACCCAATTTGGTAGACACAAAATTTGTTAAAGGAAAAACTCGGTTGAAACATAAGGGTAGCACGCTTATTTACATCGACTTTAACATTACAGACCTGCATTTGTTTTATGCGCTCACTTGGTTCCGCGAATGTGAAATAGACATGTTTATAATCAACCAATTGTGAATTTCACCGTCAAGAATTAAAATAAAACCCAATGTTTTATATAATAAGCGGAAGTCGAAGCAATAAAACCGATGGTCGTTTTGTTTACAGTTTCTCTGTTTGACTCTCACGTATGCTGTTACGCCTGTCATCTTAAATTAAGAATGTTTATACATACACGATTTTCAGTTGCCTCTGATACGTATACGTGAGTAAATTGTTTCGTTATTTTATTGATTATTACAAATCAATATTCAAAACGACCCAATTCATTTTCCCGAAAATTTGAGAATATAATAATTTTATTCTTAGTATTACACTACATCTATCCCAACTGATATACGTGTCCTTGCAAAAATGTTGATGACGTCATCGCAATTTTTTTTTAAATTCCCACTACAAAAATGTAATGAGAAAAAAAACACAATAGGCATGCAGTCGTCAAGTTTCCGACAGCGAGGGAAGTACTGTCTAAACTCTTTAGACCAATTTTTAATTGTGCTGTGGCATATACTTCATTTCTCATAAACTAGAGTTAGAGTTATACATAGGGATATCACTTCCAAGTTAATCTGCCCATTTCGAAATAGAATATATGTATTATTGGAAAAAAGTAAAAGTACCCATCTTTCAAAACTAAATTACTATCTGGATTAATTTTATTGTTTAAAAGGTACTATTTTCATTCTTACTATATATGAATCATTTTACCTTTTAGCCTTTTACCTACCATTTAAATAAACTTTGATATTATGATTATAATAAGATGGCACTGCCATTTCAATTGAGTTAGTCAGACTAAAACATTTTAGTGCCAAGGATTTATATTTAGATAATTAGAAATAAATTTTGAACTCTAGTTTTTACAAATTTGTGAAAGGATGGTTTGATACAGGGTTGCAGTGATTTATTGCAGATTTTTTGTCAAGGCCAGTTGTCAAAAACTAAAAATTAGTTGAAAAAGTCTCCCTCGTCAAAACATTCCTTTTGTTAAAAAATAATTAGGTTATTGTTCAACCCAAATAGCTTAAAGTAATTAACGATGCAGTTTTGGTTAACCGCAATAATACATACTATTGTAGGCAGATTTAGTGATAAAGTGCCCTCAAAACTCATTGTTTTCAATGTAAGTTTTTATTTCTTGAAATGAAACGTTCTGGATATTTTTGGATAATAATTAATTTCACAGTGAATGAAACAATGTTGAACAATTTGATGAACAAATCTATACTGAAAAATGAGATAACTATTTACCTTATATTTCAAAAAATTAGTGTATAACCGCTTAAGTTCATTCGTTATCTCTGAGCCATGGCTCATCCAATTTCCCTAGAATTCTGGATACACAGTTTCATTATGACTAATGTTGCATCGTAGAGAAACCGATATTTTATCTTTTTTTTATTTACTATTGTTTCTAAACAGAGAACTTTTTGTTTTATTACCGACACACTCAAAGTTAAAAACAAACTTAAACAAACCTTTATTTCGAATTTAAAATTTTAATACTTGAAGATTTCATTTTTAATGTGAGTATAATTGCATAAAACATGTGGGTGTTCCACTAAAAAAGTTTTGTGTATATCCGGCGAAACTGGAAACGACAATCAATTAAGCCAAGTTTAATGACAGCTTTCATACACTTACATGTGGCATTATGTGCAGTGTGGTTGAGGACATAGTAATTAATTACTAATTACTCAGTCTGCTGTACCAAACATTTTATTATCAGACAGAATCATACGTAGGTACGTATTTGCAACATATAAAAACCATATTTGCATTTATGGATAGCAATATTAAAGTGTAGAGTGACAATTAAAACGAAAAGGCCCATCACGTGGGTTGCGCAGTAAAGCAAGTTACGTTGGTCGAGTCTACTCATAGCTCTCGGGGGATGGAAACATAGGGCAGTAGCGCCGTTAATTTGTC